TCTGCGTACACTGGAGGAATTACACTAACCTTTGCAGTAAGTTCTAAAAACTGTTTAAGTTAAGCATCATTGGAAGGTTTAGATATTAAGTGTTGTGCTTTCCTTTTCTTTCTCAGATATTGAATGCGCCGAAGATAAAGTCTTCAATCCTTGTGGTCCTGCTGAGCCACCAAGCTGTGACGATATGTATGCCCTTTTTTCCACATATTAAAAATACTTGAGACAACTTTTGAAAAGGAGGCTTAGTACTTGTAAAGTATCACAAAATATTTACTTGATTCGCATATATAACTAATTTCAAAAGGATCACTTGCTTATGATTGACACGGTGGGTCCTGGATTAGCAATCAAAGGATACACCAGTCAGATAAATTTGATTACATATAAATAGCCAGATTTCCTTACCTTAACCTTCTTCATCTTGAAGAATCCCCCCATCGACCCCTACTCCTTACCCTCTTTCCTAATTAAATAGGGGAAGCTCTCGAGACCTACTATAGCTCAGACTACCCTCTCACCCAATGTAACCGTAGGGAGCCCAGGGTACAAGGATCACCCAAGCTTAGGGCCCTCTCCCTAGACGGCATGTCAAACTCACTCTCATTTATCAATCATTAGCTGCGTGTGAACTCTTGAATATAGATTTTAAGAGTTCACACTAAGCTGATGATTGATTATAAAGCTTGTTTGGCATGCTGTCACGGGAGAGAGCCCTGAGCTCAAAAGATCCTCAAGCCCGGGGCTCCTTCCCATTGCAAGATGAGAGGGGAGTTTGAGCTCAGGTAGATCTTGAGAACTCCTCTGCTGTAGAAGCTAATGAACAGAAAGTGATTGATAACTACTTACTTGGAGCATGTCTATGGTGCCGATTTGGATGAGTCAATTAACCTAATTTGCATGTTTTTGGACGGTGGAAGGAAACCAGGGGAAATCCCTGGCGAGCACAGGGAGAAAGTGCAAACTTCGCACAAAAAACAGCTTGCTTGGTAATGACCAGAACAAAGGACGTTCTCGCTGTAAGGCAACAGTTCTAACCACTGGGCCACCGTGCCACTTATCTACGAAAGGAGAAGGAGTGAAAGAGGGGATTTTTCAAAAATGAAGACGGCTGTGGTATGAAACCTAGGGTATTTATAGTGGCTTAGAAGTCGTCTGATTGGTGAATGATGAATTGGATAATGCAGGACCAGCCGCAAGCAATCATAAGCACGTGATCCTCTCGAAATGAGTTTATAAATAAACTTCACTAAGACTTAATACAGCATTTCTTGCAGATTTAAAATGTAATGATGGAATAATAAAAGCATATAATAAAAAAGTTAAATACATTTTGCAGACCTGAACAGAGAACCATTACAGTGCCCACAGAGGGCTGCTTCTGTCCTGAAGGCACAATGCTCTTCAACAAGGACTCAGGAGTCTGTGTCAGCAAATGCGGTAAAAAGACTCTGTGTCAAGTGTGTGTATAAGTATGCATTGAAATGAAGTGTGAAATATATTAGTATGATTTTTCTCCTCTCTTTTACTTATTAGGATGCATGGATGCCTCTGGGACACCACGTGAGGTATGGTGTTTTTTTAAAGCTATTCGGTTTTACTATTTCATAAACTGTTTTCCACCAATCAACCCGGGTAGCTGAAATATAATTGGCTTAAATAGCATTTGGTGGGTTAAAGGGACCAAAACAAAGACAGCATTCCGGCACGCAACACACATTTTCAAAGCAGAATATCTGACTTCAGCATTGTTTTTTCGATAAACAAGAATGTTCACTTGGCCTGTTTCTTAAATATCTGCAAACATTTTATGGTATGTTTGTGCTTTAAAAGTGTCAAAAACTTAAATGCAGCACCTTTAAGGATCTTTTCCAATCCCCTAGCTCCAAAGATCAATACCATTGCAGTTTGTTACATGTCTACATACGGCGTGTTAAAGCACCTACATCAGTTTTACATTTTAAACACATAGAAGGATTAAAGAAGATGTCTGCAGTTAGGAGAGATATGGAGTCTATTATTTTATATTGTGCTTCTCTTGTTTGTGTGCAAACAGATATTTTCTTAGCATTAGAATAAGGGTGCTTTCACACCTACACTTTTGTTTTGGAACCTGTCTTGTTTTCCCAGTTAGCGCGGTTCGTTTGGCATATGTGAAACCACCAATCGCTCTTGGATCCGCGCCAAATCAATCGCTCCAAGAACGCTTGAATGAGGTGGTCTCAGCTCGATTGAAATGACTTCTAGAGCGGATCGATTACAGTGAGAAAGCAATCCGATCGTTATATCACTGTTTTACAGATATGTAATAGGCATACGGCTATATAAAGAGAGAATTATGAGTAGGGCGGGAAATTTCGCGAGTCTCCAGATGCCAGCAAATGAGTGATAATCTCCCGGTAATCTCGCGTCTCCCTCCCGGTCCTCAAATAGGCTACGTCGCGCACCCTTCTCACCCCTCCCCACCGCATCTCTCCATCACTCTTCAGACACGTTGCGCGCACCTTGTCAAACACCACCAAACCACCACCTCTCCTGACAGCTGAGCGGGACTCTGCAAAATAAACACTGACACTCTGACCAATGTGAGGAGAGTTTACTCACACGTGACTTGTTTTAGCTCTTTTGGTCCGATTAGAAACTTTGCAGTGTGAAAGCAAACCGAACCCAGAGGAAAGAGCAACAATGTAACAATTGTAATCTCTGTTTCGGAAAAACTGAATCGATTCACAGGTGTGAAAGCACTCTAAATATCATCTCTCATTTGACCACATTGGCCAACATTGATCCTCCAGTAAATGTCTGACAGGGTAGCTTTTGTAGATTCTTCCACACATTAGCTATGTTACATTGGTAATTGATAATCCTTCTCCTGGTTGGTCTATCCAATAGAATCATAAATGATACAAAGAATTCAAGATGGCACAGAAAGAAGGCTGATGTTATGCCAGCATATAAAAAAGATTAGTTGTTGAGCACTGCTTTGTTTTTCATGTTGAATTATGAATACACATTATTTATACCTATTAATAAAGACAGCTATATTCATAAGTTGCCGCCTGAATTTGTTTTCTTATGTATAATTGCAGCTTTTTCGGCTTTCATCACCACAAGTTCTGTTAATTTGTCTTGGTAATAAAAATGACTTTTAACCTAACCCACTTCGTGTTTAACGGCAGTTTGACGAGGTTTTCGAGTACAACTGCGAGGAGTGCGTCTGTGAAAGAGCCAGCAAATCAGTGACCTGTAAACCCAAGAGTTGTCCTGGCGGAAACCCTGAGGTCTGCACTGAACCTGGCTTTGTGCTGGTCAACTACACCGATCCCTCAGAACCGTGCTGCAGCAAACAAGTCTGCAGTAAGACAAGTTTGACAGTTTCCAAAGAGACTAACTTCAGGTTTGCATAGTCCTTTTCTTAGGTCATCTCTCTTTGTGTTTTGTAATGTAGATTGTGATGTCAGCATGTGTCCACCTTTGGATAAGAAGTGTAATATTGGATATGCACCAATCCTGGACGTTCCTGAAGGCAAATGCTGTCCAGAAATTAAATGCGGTATTGCTATTATTAATCCTTCATATATATTTTTTGTTTGTTTTGTATATTGTGTTTATTTTGATTATAAATGACGTCTCTATCGCTTGTCTGAATCTTTGTTTAATTAATTATTTCTTTTAGAGCCAAAGAAAGTGTGTGTTCACAAAAACACAGAGTATGAGGTAAATGAAATGAAGTGTTTTTTGTAATGTAATAATGATAAATTCAAGGATTACAAATCTCTATATCATCACTTTCCCCAGCCTGGTACCACCATCCCTGTCATTGACTGTCAAGAATGCAAATGTACTTGGGATGTGGATCCCAAATCACAGTTTTTCAAGATCAAGTGTGGATTTGTGCAGTGCAATGAGAAATGCGATCCTGTAAGTTGCAGAATAAGCTTCTGTGGACCTTGTTTCATTGTGATTTTGGTTGCCTTCATTTGATGTTTATGTTCCCCAGGGTTATGAATATATTGATGACTTTAGCGACTGCTGTGGAAAGTGTGTGCAAACTCACTGCGTTGTCAATATTGATGGCGTCAATCATGTACTGCAGGTGAGGTCAAGCATGAAGCATTTTAACACCTTGAGATATTTGCTGAAGACATTTGCTCACCCTCATTTCCCTTAACATTAGCCACTTTCACACAGTAATACCAGTAAATATCCATAAAATTACTGGAAATTACTTCATGAAATCTGAGAAATCTTATTTTATTTTCTCTTTTCAATTGCAGGAGGGAGCCTCTCTGCCCACTTCAAACCCAGGCTGTGACAAAATCACATGCAGTAAAGTTAATGGACAGTTCATCACTGTCAAATACACAGTCCAGTGTCCTCCTTTCAACATTTCCAACTGCCAGCCTGTCAGTAAATCACACAAGCACGCATGTGAAACACACATGTACATGTGTTACCAACTCACTATCATGACATTCTGCCTCTGTGTTTCACTCTGCAGGGCACTGTTCAGTTGTCAGCCGATGGCTGCTGCCATGTTTGTGAGTATAATCTAAGAGAGAAACAATTTGGCTTTTTGTTCATTTAAATGCACGATTCATTTGACTGTGTGTGTTCACTATGTAGGTGTGGACCAAATTAAGGGATGTCAAGTACAGTCCATTCGAGATTTCATAAAGCACAACGACTGTCAGTCAGAGAAGAAAATGGACCTGGCGTTTTGTGGTGGAGACTGCAACAGTTTTAGCAGGTGAGCACGCCTTGTAGTGGAGTTTGCATGTTCTTCCTGTGTTGGCATGGGTTTCCTATGGGTGCTCCGGTTTTCCTCACAGTATAAAGACATGCGCTATTGGTGAATTGAATAAACTAAATTGTTCTTACACTGTAAAACCCTAAAAGTTAAGGTAACTTAAACCGTTTGAGGAAACCGATTACAACAAACCATTTAAGTAAAAAAACTAATCCTAATGAGTACTGTGAACTTACTCCATTTGAGTAAATGAAGCAATTTGAGCAAAGTAAAACCCAATAAATGAAGAGAACTCAAACCGAGTACTGTAAAACCCAATAAGTTAAGGCAACTCAAACCGTTTGAGGAAACCGATTGCTGCAAACCATTTGAGTTAAACTAATCTATTTGAGTACTGTGATCTTACTCTATTTAAGTTGAAGTAATGAGGTATTTAATGAACTCTTTACCTTTAACACTGAGTCCAAAACTCTTTTCAAATGAGTAGAATTAACTTTCAGTCAATTTTGAGTTAACTGCACTCATTTCATTTGATAGTTGAGTATTGGGTTTAACAGTGTAGTGTATGTGTGTGAATGAGTGTTTATGGGTGTTTCCCAGTACTGGATTGCACTTAGAAGGACATCCGCTGTGGAAAACCTATGCTGGAATAGTTGGCAGTTCATTCCGCTGTAGTGACCCCTGACAAATAAAGAGACTAAGCTGATAGAAATTAAATGAATGAATTGTAAACAGAAAAAAATCACAGTATTACTAGTTTTGCTATATTTTATAGTACAGGGCTCGAAATTGTGACCCTTTTGATTGCATATGCGCCTGAAATTTTTTCTATGCGACCTCAAAATATATTTAAGAGCATTTGTGTGAGTGCATAAAATTGTTGTTGTGCGACCAGTTTTCACAGCTAAATGTTCACCACATGCGCGGATTTAGGAGGCATTCACGCAAAAGGCATCTTTGCACTAAAGAACACCAAATGCAGCGCTCAGAAATAGTTCAAAACATCTGACATGTTCATTTGCTGCAGTAAAAAGAGCCCACAATGCTTGTCAAGCTCTTTTTATTGGCCCACTTCACTAGAACAGAACACGAATGGATTGGTTAAGATCAGCTGTCAATCATTCGTTCTGATGACAGGGAGCTACAGCCACGAAAACGTAAAGGTCTGGATACGAGTGAATGAAAACAATACTGACAGATTTAGAAACCACCTAAAGTTACAAATAATGGCACATCTGATTACTGATCATGTAATGAATGTTAATCCAGCACTTACACTTTTCAAAGATTGGATAAAACACTTCCAGTGGTTAAAGTCTGCTATAAAAATGAGTAAAGCCAATGACTGTAAAGCCGGAGGGACAGAGTTTTCATATAACAGTATTTGCCACTGAATCTACTCATTTTAAGCAGGAGATTTTCTAACATTATTTAATCTTTCATTTAATCATCACGATGCTTTCAGTCGTGCGGCTGATACCACGTTCGCCATTGCTAAAGAGCTGCATTCACTGAGATGAAATTAATATTGCAGCTCATGAAAAGACCGTTACTGCTTAAGTAAGCAGTAAGTTATTTGTCAATATTATCCATGCAATATCAGACACCACCTGTAAGAACAGCACAGTTATTATTGTTAATTCAGTTCATCTCATTTATGTCAAGCAGTGCGTGCAGGGTGGGTAAGCACATGCAGATTTTTATTCTTTGTTGGTTTTGATTAGAGTTGATTTCAAATGCAATAAATCTGTTAATATAAAACATGTAGTAATGGTGCTCAAAATTGGTGGGTGCAGCTAAATTTAATTGAATTAACCAAGAAAAAAGGTTCATTTTTAGCTGTGTAGTATTTTTTCCTTAATTATAATATTTTCTTCTCTCTCTTTACATAGGTACGCTAATCCTGGATTGTCCTCCTGTAGCTGTTGCCAGGCAACACGCTCAAGTAATCGCACAGTCGATCTTGCTTGTGTAAACGGAGACATAATAAATCACACATACATCCATGTTGAAGAGTGTTCCTGCAGCAGAACTAAATGTCACGAAGCGGAAGTGAGCCAAACACTCGCTGAAACCAGCAGAAGGAAACGTAGCGTCAGATTTCCGTGAACAGCAGTGGGGAAATCCGACCCAAAACAAATCTTAGTGAAGCTTTGATCGGAAACTAATTTAAAATTGCACATGCTGTATGTTTAACTTTTCTTCAACTTTATCTATAGAGCTTTGTTTGTTTTTCTTTGTTGGATAAATGTGTACTGTTTTCCTTGCATGCAATTAAAAGCAATTAAAAAAGCATTTTAAACCTAAATGTATGTGTATTGAGTGCTGCATTAAGAATATGTTAATTTTTTGGTTTATGTTGACACAGTGCTCAGCATTGAGTACAACCCATTTTGAAAATGAATATTTTTATCCATTTATCAGTGAATATAGGCATGTGTTTTTGACTGATATATTTATTTACATAATATTTTTTTGTCAACAAACATATTTAGTAATAGAAAGATAATACAAGTGAATTTAAGCAAAATATTGCAAATATAAATTACAACCTACAAAATGTCAACTAAATTTTTGCTTCTCTTGACTTTTCTTTTTTTAAATCTGCATTTAATACTTTTCTATAACATAAATGTGGATGTACTAGTTTTTGGACCGCTATCGTGAGTTATTTTGTTAGATTAGTTCCAGATTTGGCTTCAGTGTTGACTAATTTATATGCACAAATATAATATTGTAAAGCTTCCTATTAAAAATATTTAAAAGAGAGATTTGTCAGTGGTGTACTCGTATACGCTGAGCACTGTATAGTATATTCGCCATAGAATGGAGAGATACATGGACAGCATTTTGTCTATTTGGTGTGACTAGAATTCTAATTCACTAAATGAATTGGAGACAATAAACTAAATAATCTAATAATTAGGTCAGAACTAAATGTATTATTTGCATTTTCTTTCTTTTTTTTTAGCTTTATTAATTTTTACATTTAGTAATTATATCTTTCCATGTAAAGTAGTTAAAACAGTCACTTAATCGGAATAACAAAAAACTATGTAAATTATGCTTTTAAAAATAACATTTCTAGGTAGGACTGCAATATTTAGAAAAATGCATATCTATAATGGAAATATGCACATTATAATGCAACAGCTATAAGGGTTTGGATTTGTGCAGGGGAAAATTTGTCCAGTTCCTTTCATTTGTGGGGGGGTGGGGTTGTTTGGTCATTTTGGGGGCATTTTTGGGTACAAGCCCCTGTTTATCTTTGACCCTACAGTTGAGTTGTTTTGAAGTACAATGATCATCAAAGCAAACTTCAACAACCCAGACTCATTTTGGTTGTGTATCCTTATACATTTCTGGAAAGCACCAAATACGTCCCAGGAGCTCTTTTTTTTTTTTTTTTTTTTGTAGTTTTTTCAGAAATTCGATTTTTAATATCTGTAATTTCTTAAGCAAGTGACATTCATGCCTGCTCTTCTTGCGGAAAGAACAGAGGCTGCTGTCGACAATGACAAACCGATAGCCCCACCACTTCCATCCTCCATTTCGACCTTTAAAATCAATCCAGCGTCTTGATTTAATTGTTTGGCTTGTATTTTTGTCTTACCCGCTTTTTGGAACCGTCCTTTGCCAGACTCGAACCACATTGTCATGGTCAACTCTGCTCTCCGTCTCAAATCCTCAGACATACGCGAAAGCCACTGGACAAACTAGTAACAGCGCGAAAGCTGTCCATTCGGAGGTAAGTGGTCAGCTGGTAGCACGAAAAGCAATGGCATCATACCGCCCTGTAGCGTTCGTTTTTAAGATGAAACGCAGCCATACATTCCTCTGGCTACATAATTCGTGATCTCCAGAGATGTACATGTATAGGGCTACATTTTCAGAATGAGCCCATGTTTGACAATTAACAATGGAACAAAAAATGTTTAAAATATATCTGCTCTTGCATTATTTTGTTAAATTGCTATCAAAAGAGCTCATTTAATAAAGTAAAATTACATTGACTAATCAGGGAGAAAAACTGATTCTGTCAGGGTGATTTTGGTATATGACAAGAAAAAGATAAGCTCAATTTTTAAAAGCATACCTTTGGGAAGAAGACATGTTACATATCTAGGTTGTTTGATGATTACAGACATCCAAGTATGGTGTATTTGCATTAGACAGGAAACAGGATATGCATAGTTCAATTATATAGAAAAATCTTTTCATAATTAAGTGGATCAGCTGGTTGTTCCAGTCATCTTACATTGTCAACATATCTTGAATATTGACTAACATGCATACTCAAGGAGAACCAATAATTTGTGCTCCAGGTGAGTACATGGGGTCATGAACAGTTGTTGATGGTAAAATCACTGAACTTAAAAGTCAATCGGTTGAAATAAGTACTTGGAAAATTTTATTCGATTGACAAAGTATTATTTTGGAAGCGATTTGTAATTTACCCAATAATACATTTCAAAATGAATATGTTTACTTAATACAAAATAGAAAAATAACACTTTTTACTCTTTTTAATTTTATTTATAGTCAAAAAAGTCTTAATTTTGAAGATCACTTAACTTCAATTTTCCTTGCTACTAACAAACCAATTCTGCGATCCTGGATTAACTTCTATGTTGATCCTGGGACCTCAGTTTTGTTTAAAAATGTAATCCATTTCTATTCCCTATTCCTAAACCCAACCATAACTGGAAATTATTCCTAATATCAGAGGGGAATAGTAGTTGGATAACAATAACCATAAGCCTAAGCTACGGTAAACATATCTTAATTCTGATTGGCATATTGTTTCAGAATCAACATAAATGTTAATCCAGGAACATGTCCTACTTGGGGAAATTAGGTTGGTGAACCCTCCGAAGGGCACTTCAGAATAAAAAACAATCATAGCCGCCATACTGAAGTGCCGTTCTAAACTGAAGTACTCACAAATAGTCACATCAAAGGGCCATTTGGAATTTTGAGGGGGACCATTGATGGACATTTCAGGCCCCATAATCCGTTGGGCAGGTATGATATTTGGTTTGCAATGATTTTAATTCGGTAGAGTTCATCCCAGTGGCCTAATGGACCATTTTCACATTTCTGTCACAACTGTCCTCAGAAAATAAAATCATAAATTAAATTTTTAGTAAGTGCACATGAAGTTATAAAAAAAATGCAAGTTTAATGTTTTTACATCCAACACGTGAAAGAGAAATGAGCAGGAAGAATAAAAGTCATAAAGAAATTCTCATTTCAATTGATGGAAACAATTAACACAAAAAAAATATGGGAAAATTTAACTCTTCTTTCATCAACCAAAGAAAATGTGAGATTTGGGAGGAAATCATGGCTATAAGTAGATTAGTTTAGAGTAGATTAGACTATTCTTCATTATCATCGCAAGTAATCCTCAATGTAAACTAATCTCGCTGTCATCTCTTTTCTACCGTTATACATGGGGGTGAGGCGGCTAAATATTTAGTTGGAACGTAGCGCTACATTTAAACTGTTTAGTGGTGCAACACAAATTAATAAAATCAGACGGATAAACAGAGAAGTAGAAAGTTTCCGGAACTACGCCATATCATTAATATCATTCAGTATTATTAAGCTAACTATTTGATTGTTTTTATAAATTATTTTAATGATTGTAAGGATTTTTCTAACAATTCAAGAATTTTTCAATCAAACTTTGATGCATCACATGCTTTTGTTCATGTCTCGGACAGTTTTACTGATTAAAGTTTAAAGGTATTGGCAACAGAACATGGGCTGCTCTACAAGTATATTTTTTATTATGGCAAGAATAAAAGCAAAATAAAAGAGCACACTCACAGTACTTAAAAATACTGATGTTTTTTTTTTTTTTTTTTTTTTTTTTTTTTAGATTTAGCCCGCTCAATTCACACATTACTGTCTGGCTAGTTTCTTTCCTCTATTATACAAAAAAGGCAATAATAGTCCAACAATCCAAAAAAAAAAGTGTCCAAAAAAATCCAAAAGTCTCAAAAAAGCCGAAAACATGCCGCGCGTACCCAAAGCGAACATCCACAAACTCCGCGTTGACGTCACATTCACCGCACGCACTCAAGCAAACAAGCGAATGCGTCAAATATAAAATTTTAGAACGGGTATGACATAGGGATGAGATTTTTAAATGAAACTTCCTATAATAGTTAATCAGTGGAAGAACATGATTCAGTTGTAAACAGTAAAAAAGCTACAGTATCAAGAGCAACTATGGCCATACCTTTTTCTAACTACAAGTGCCAAAACCTGTGATAAAAGATACCTTTTGCATGTGAAATTTCACACTATGTCTGCAACATCACAGCAGAACAACAGCATATACTGAGACAAAGATCACATCGGGAACAGATGATGTGCTTTATTCAGTTTGAAATGTTCCCAATGGGAGTTTATATACCATTTTACGTGTCATTTATTGCCATACTACTGGAATTAGCAGCAGATTATTTACCTCAGATCTACAGGTTGAAAATGACATTCAGAACTGAGACTCAGTGCAAACCAAAAACACCAGTGACTATTAATTATACCTATTAATAATGTTAACGAAGTTTTATATGAATTCATTAGATTAGCCTGATTAAGCCTTTACCATTTAGTTGGGACTGTGCAGTGGCTGGAATTTAAATGTTAAATGTCGTGTTTGGTGCAGAGAGCCAATTTGCTTGTAGCTGGAATCTTGTTACATGGCGTGTTGTTATTGTAGGACATGGTGTTAATGAAGTATTTTATTTAGGTGGTACTGTATGAGTAAGGATTCATTCTCTACCTCTGCTTACTAAAAATCTGCATAGGTGGATTCTTCACAGTTTACCATTTTATATGTGTACAGATGCATGCTTAAATTATTTGTTTATCCGTTTTGAATGCAGCAAAACTTGACATTGTCCAATACAATTGTTATAACTATGGTATACATCTATTTTCATCGATAAAGGAAATAAAGCACAATAATCTTAAATTATATCAGTAAATGCTGTGGAATAATCCTGCCAAACCTGATTGAATTCATATTCATCAGTGTATTATACTGTGCAACTTCTGCAGAAAAGACGTGAACCCCTAATTGTCAACACACACACATTCCTGTTTACTCTGGAGAAAAGTCAGTTTTACGAGAAGTGAACAAGATTTGCATCAAGCTTGTTTAGTATATCAAACAGCCATTAAACATTTATTTAGAATCCAATAGTAATGTCCCACCTTTTGATAACAGGCGACATTCATCTAGTTCCACAGAAAATTAAAATTTACTATAAAAGGAACGAGAGATGACAACAAACTCACATTAGCTCTGGAGGATGGGTTCTGAGGGGATGGTCAGGATGTCCCAGATGTGGATGCTGAGATGGGTCATCCTAATGACGGGCCTGCAGTTCATACAAGCAGGTTAGGACAATCGAAAATATTTTGCTAAATCACAGTTATCTATGGTACATACAAAATATGACTCTGTTTCTTGTTTGTTTGTTTGTTTGTTTAAAGGTTTTATGTTCGATTATGGAGATTATGATTTTCATCTGAACAAAGTGGAGCTAACGACACCTCCAACAACTCCAGGTAGACGTCACAGTGTTTATGGATAAACAAAAGAGTACTAATGAGACAGAAATGTATTAACAGATGTCAAGTTTAATGAGCTTTAAACTAACATTTTGAACTTTCATATTTATTTTAAAAAGGGAGGACTTAATCTTATTGAGGATATATATTGATATTGTGTAATCTGTGACATCCATGAACAAGAACAATGAATCTTTGAACATAACTGCATTTACAATTTAATTAAAAAACAGTTACATTAAAATAAAAGTTACATTTGCTGGTACGTTTTAACACATTGAACTCAAGTATCAAATTGTGTCCATTTTTGTTTGTATCTACAGTTTAAGGCAAAGTTATTAACATTTTAGCTAAAATGTAAAAAAATATTTCCAGAGTCGTTTAAGCGAGAGCAGATTTTTCGTTTTAACAACTAATTTCTAGTTTCTAACTCATTTATTTTTGTTTTTGCCATGATGATAGTTCAGCACATTTTACTAGTTATTTTGCAGTTGTATTCTGCTTTAAGTACATTTGTTTATGGCTTTACTAATTAATTATTGGCTTAACAGGTCAATTAGAGTAACTAGGTAAGTCATTGGACATTGTTTGTTCTGTAGCCAATCCAAAATCATATTTCTTAAGGGAGCTAATAATAAAAAATATATATATATTTAAAATATATAATAAAAATGTAGGGTGGCACAGTGGCCCAGTGGTTAACTCTATAGCCTCACAGCAAGAAGGTCGCTGGTTTAAGCCCAGGCTGGGCCAGTTGGCATTTCTTTGTGGAGTTTGCATGCTCTCCCTGTGTTGATATGGGTTTCCTCCGGGTGCTCCGCTTTCCCCCACAGTCCAAAGACATGCGCTAGGTGAATTTAATAAACTAAATTGGCTGTAGTTTTTGAATATGTGAGAGTGTATAAGTGTTTCCAAGTACTGGGTTGTGGCTGGAAGGGCATCCACTGCATAAAACATTTGCTGGAATAGTTGGCGGTTCATTCTGCTGTGGCGACCCCTGATAAATAAGGGACTAAGCTTTTATCCAAAGCGATTTGTAAGTCGCTTTGGATAAAAGCGTCTGCTAAATGACTAAATGTAAATGTAAGGAAAATAAATGACTGAATGGATAAAAATATATTTTAAAAAATTCAAATAAATGCTTTTATTCGAGCAAAGGGAACAGAAAGAAGACTTTCCAGAGGAAAACACGGTAACACTTTATAATAACTACACACTATAAATCATTTATTAAGCATTAGCAAATAGTGAACTCATTATCTGTTAAGCATTAACTCTACATTAATAAACGTTAGTAAGCAGTCCATAACAGAAGCTACAAATGCTCCATTCTTGACTTATAAGCACCTATATAATGTGATTAATAATTGTATTTTCATACTGATTTATTTTTCATTACTAAATTAAGTATCGAATTATTTACAATCTGTTTGTATTTAAGAGTAGTTGAGGGTTTTTAGGATCATTCAGAATGAGTTAGTAAATGATTAATAAACTAATGAAATCAACATTTATATATCTTATTATTCAGGCATATATTAATGGTTACTAAATATGTTAATAAATGTTTTATTAACTCAACTTCATGCAGTTTTGTGACCTAATCTAAAGTGAGGACTACTTATGCTTTATAAATCCCTTATAAATGACAAATAAAGGCTCAGTTAAATCCTAAACTGGAAAAAAATAAATTATTAATTTCTCTTCATTTAAAGATACACAAATGAAACTACTTCAAATGAAAAATAAATCTTTGCAACCTTTTCTAAAATAGAATCACTGTAGAGTTTAAACATTACATCTTATTATATTGTTAAATTATTATATTGTGGTTGTTTTATCCAGTTGGATGTCATATTCTGACACTCATGTTATTTTGCAATTTTTAAACTTTACAGTAATTTTACTTTTTAGAAAGATTGCGCAGATTATCGCTCATTTGATTCTGAGCCTTTAATAGTCATTTGTAAGGCATTTATAAAGCATGAGTAGTCCTCACTTTAGATTAGGTCACAAAACTGCATGAAGTTGAGTTAATAAAGCATTTACTAACTTATTAGTTAACTATTAGTATATGCCTGAATAATAAGACATAAATGTTGATTTCAATAGTTTTTTAATCATTTACTAACTCATTCTGAATGATCCAGAAAACCCTCAACTACTCTTAAATACAAACGATTTGTAAATAATTCTATACTTAATTTAGTAATGAAAAATAAATCATTAACACATTATGAAAATACAATTATTAACCACATTATATAGGTGCTTATAAGTCAAGAATAAAGCATTTGTAGCTGCAGTTATGGACTGCTTACTAACGTTTATTAATGTAGAGTTAATGCTTAACAGATAATGAATTCACTATTTGCTAATGCTTAATAAATTATTTATAGTGTGTAGTTATTATAAAGTGTTACCGAAAACACATTATGTAGGTAATAAGGTGGAAATTTCCCTATTCTGTCAAATATCACTTGGGAAATAAAATGTCTGTATAATTGTAGATCCAAAAGTTTACGTTAAAATGCATTTTTGAAAATTTGAAAATCTATTTTGACCAAGCAGATATCATATAAACATCCTAAAACATCTTAACATTATAACTTGGCATTGTTTAACACACTGTAAACCACTATAAGTGGACACTGAAGTGTTTTTTCCTTCTTTTTCTTCCTTAGTTCCCTTCTATCAGAGCAATCAGCACACCAGCATGTGTAGCACATGGGAAAGTTTCCACTTCAAGACGTTCGATGGGGACATTTATCAGTACCCAGGCTTGTGCGAGTATAACCTGGTGTCTGACTGCACATCAAAACAGTTCTCGGTTGATGTGAAAAGAACCCAAACCCGCAGTGGTCCAAAGATCAGCAGGATCGTGGTTAGCATCAATGGCAAAATGTTTTCAATCAGCGAAAACAATGTCATGATCGATGACAAAATGTAAGTTTCTAAAGCACTGCTTATTTCCTTCCTGAGTAAACACAGAGAAGTTGTAAAGAAGTAGTGTGTTATTTACTTAAATCATTTCCTTTTAGTACAAAGCTGCCAGTGTATGAATCAGGGATCCTTATAGAAGAGAACACAATCTACACCAATTTCCGATCCAAAACAGGCCTGACGGTCATGTGGAGCAAAGATGGGGCAGTCACGGTGAGACACTTATTCCTGACTGTTTTTAGTATTTAAGATTTTTATTAATAACTGAACGTTAATTTTATGTAGTAAAAATGTTAATTAATTGCTTGTGCTGTTGAAGGTTGAGCTGGACAATAGATATCAAAATAAAACCTGTGGATTGTGCGGCAATTTCAACGGGATTGGTGATGAGTTCGATATAGCAGGTCAGTTGCTGTGAATAACAGACTTCTGTCTAATTTTGTTCTTGTTTCATTGCTAACTGTTCTAGGAGATCAAGTTTCATCATTAGGGAACTAATCTGTGCATAATCTTATTTAACAAACCAGAAAACAGCAGAAAAATGGGCTTCATAGAGTTTGGAAATAAACACAAAATTAACTTAATGGAATCTTGTGAAAATCCTTCGGAGATTGAGGAAAAGAAAAACTGGACAGCTAAATGTGAAGATTATGTAAGTCACAACATTTATTTATGGGTTTTAATAGAGTGTATTTAGAATCTATTTAAGGGATGGCTTATTTATTTACATCTAAAAACGCAACTGTTCATGCTGACAAACAGATTAAAAGAATAATAGAATACATTTAGTTTAGATTGGCCTCTGAGAGCAAAAGCTAAATAAACACCCTACCTGTGTCTCCACAGCAAGCAGAATGTGAAGAGCTTTTCAGGGCTGAAGTCTGGTCCTCTTGTGCCGTGAGCTACTATCCATATGTAGACGCCTGCGTTTATGATAGATGCTTCAGCAAGAAATCTTCCGTCTGTGCGACTCTGTCTGAATATTCACGCCAGTGTTCACATAATGGAGGAACTCCATCAACCTGGAGAACAAAAGACTTTTGTGGTAAGGAACTTGTTTTTGTCTTATTTCCTTACTTTGTTTGCATATGTATTGTGTTATATAAACCACTAATGTAAGAGGTTATGAGGCAGAAGTTGTTTTCGTTTAAATAATTTTTTTAAATGGAATATTTCATCCTATAATTTGTAACATTTTTATTATAACTTGCTTTCTCATGCAGCTGTGAAGTGCCCCTACAATATGAGCCATTCTGAGAGCGGCTCCCCCTGCATAGACACGTGCTCACATGAAAACACAAACAAACAGTGTGAGGAGCACAATATCGATGGCTGCTTCTGCCCACCAGGTCAGTCCCTAATTCACAATATTTAATTGAATCTCATAAATCTCATTCAATTGAAGCTTTTTGGCGCCGCCTTTACTTTTTTTACGGTCCATCTCTGACAATTAGCTTGTGTTGCCCCTAATGTTTGTTTGACATTCTTGCCAGATTTTTATTATGTTCGCGTAACCTCTGATTGGGTCGGCCCATCTCGAAACCAGCTGGCCATTACTGATTGGGCCAATGCTTAACATTTATTATTATTATTACTATTATCATCATCATCATCATCATAATATTCACCCCTTGCAAGAAACAAAAACTGCCTGTATGTAAAGCAATACTTATAAAAAAATATTATTAAAAATATCATACCGGCCTACGTTTAAAAAAATGGTCCAGCCCAGAATTGGCAGATGGCCAGTCCGCCCCTGCTCATGCCACAACATATCAATTACATTCAGGTCAGGACTTTGTCTATGCCACTCAGAAGGAACCTTGCTGGTGTGCTTTGGAAATCATAAAGATGTTTTCTGGCAAAACTGAGAGGAGCCTTTGTTCTTTTTGCTCAGCAGTGGTTTTCATCTTGAAACTTTTATGAAAGTCTCTTTTCTTATGGTGATAGGCATTGGTAGATAACGACTCTCAATGGCTCACTGTAGTTCCAAAGATTTAGAAGCGACTTTTTAACCTTTCCCAGACTAATAGATCTCAATTAGCTTCTCTTTTTACGTTTCCACGGATCTCGGCATGATGTCTAGGTTTTGAGGATCTTTTGGTCTACTTTAAGTTTGCAAATAGGGTATTGCCGTAATCAGGCTTGAGTGTGTCTAGAGAAATTTAACTCAGGCAATTTTGTTTAAACACTTTTTCATACATGGCTGGGTAGTTTTGGATTTTAATTTCTCTTAATAATAGTTCACATTAATTATCTAATAATTAAACAATTAGGGGGTAACTTTTTGATGATCTGAAACATTAACGTATGAGAAACATGCAACAAAAAATTAATCAGTAAGGGGCAAACACTTTTTCACACTACTGTATGTATCTGAATGTATGTCTTTTTTGTGTAAAATGATGTGAAAAACAGGCAATTGTGAATAATTTGTGCACAAAAGACAAAAACTGTGTATTTGATAAAATATGATGTGTCATAGAAACTGTGTTTGATGACATCTTGAATGCGGGCTGCATTCCACGAGAGCAATGTCATTGCAAGCACGACCGCATCTACAAACCACAAGATATTCTACAAGACGAAGAGCAAGATTGGTAATGACACTCTTTACTTTGTCCATCTTTTATTTACAAAAGCAAATTTTTAAATAAATCTTTGAGAGACCACACTATTACAGGATGCAACATCTGTAGTCTTAAGGGTGGTTTTTTTCTTATGAATGAAATTGTCTGGTTTTCATTCAGTGTGTGTCAGAATGGAAAATGGAACTGTAAAATAAAACCCGTTCTTGGCCGGTGCGCAGTAGAGGAAGGATCTCACTTCACCACCTTCGATGGACAGGAATTCACTTTCCATGGGGACTGTAACTATGTGCTCTCAAAAGTAAGAACATTGTGCTGTTGCTAAGATATAAAAGATGGAATAAGGTATAAGATATATTTGTATGTGTTTGTATTTGTTCATACCATGTCACTTTTTATGCAGCAATTATTATTATTATTATTTTTTGCTAATACTGTATTTGAATTTTTATTTTTAAATACTAACTCTGTGTTTGTTTTTGAAGGACTCCGAGGGGTCAAAGTTTATTATATTGGGACAGATTTCTCCTTGTGCTGCCCTTAACATTGACACTTGCTTAAAATCAATTGAAGTGATATTTAACAATGACACGGTTAATGTGAGTACATTCCCTTACAAGCAAATCTTAGAATGAATATTGCAGATCAGTTTGAAATTGAACATGTATGTTTTGCTTTATTAGCGTCTGGTGATTTCTGAAGATGGGACAGTAAAACACAATGGACTAGTTCTACTTCCATATACCCCAGGTGAACAGAAAGAATCCGTTTATCATTTAAAACCAGTATACTGAAAAAAAAGTCCCCCTATAAAGCTTTTTCCTTGACCCATCCAATGCCAAACATTTATATATGGTTTGTGGTAAGTGGACTATTGACTGCTTTACTCATAGTTTTAAAAATAAAGCCCTTAGTTCCAACGGAAAACCCTTGGTACTATGCTCCATTTTTTTTAAACTAGGTATGCCTAGTAAACTAATTTCAAGAGGATTGCATGATTGATCACAGCTAGTCCCGCATTAGCTAACACTTGATTTACCAATCAGATGGCTCTTGAGTCTCATCATCATCCTCAGTTATCTTTGTCTTAAAGAATTCCCCTCTTCCCTCCAATCCCTACTCCTCCTCCATTTTCCTAGATAGGTTGATGTGGGGACCCAGTAATTAGCACTGTTGCCTCACCGCAAGAATGTCACTGATTAAAGGCCAGTCAATGTTTCTGTGCAGATTTACATGTTCTGCTTGTGTGGGTTTCCTCCCACAGTCCAAAGACATGCAATATAAGTGAATTAACCAAACCAAATTTGCCCCATAGATGAGTTCTTAGTCAGCAGTATATCTCTCTATAGCAATCCCTATAATCTGTCATTAGCCAGAAATATACCAGGGGAGTTCTCGAGACCTACCTGAGCTCAAACTCCTCACTTGCCCTGCAGACGGGAGGGAGCCCAGGGCTCGAGAATCTTCTAAGCTCAGGGCTGTCTTTCAGGACAGATTGTTTATTATCAATAATTAGCTAAGTGTGAACTCTTGAAACCATAATTAGGGGCACTTTTAGGGGCATCTTTTAATTGAAGCAAACAGAAAATTGCACCAGCAGCATAAAGGCCTGTCACACCGAGACGTTTTTTTTTGCGTTTTCCATCAACGTTTAATGTCTCATGACTAAATAAAGGGCGTCAATGTAATCGTGCACACCAACGCGCAAAACGCCAGGCGCAAAAGCGTCATTTAAAAAAACAACAACGCTGCGTCAAAACCTTCTGCACCAATCAGATTGGCACTTTTGTTCACATGTACGAAGCTGCTGAAGTTACAGTAAACAGCACTTGGAGGCGTTCAAGCACAAAACTGTCAATGCGAGCGCACATTGAAGATACCCAGAAGCGATATGAACATGAAGTTGCTTATTGCACTGGTGAACAATAACCATTTCTTCATCGCTAGAGCTGGAGCTGCTGCTTGAACCATCCATGCTTGTTCGAGTCACCAGTAACTTTAACATGAAGCGTGTGAACTTCCTCTCCTCCTCTTCTTCTGTGTTATAAGCGGGTGTCAGAAGCTTAAAGTTGTATAGCGCCATCTAATGTCAAGGAGCGATTTTGCATACTCTTCTGTGGCCAGTGAAAATCGCCTGGGTTTGAATACGGAAAAACATCTCATAAAACGCTGACAATAAATCCAAACGAAAAGCGTCCCGGTGTGTAGGAGCCTTAACTGAAAACAATTAAAGTGTGTATAACGTTATAATGTTTATTCATTTTGATCTTTTTGACTACATTTTGGTCAAATTTTTTTTTATTCAACAACATCGCATACTGATGTAATCACCTTTAGTATCTAATAATACCCATACTGTGTCATTAAATCTTTGTCTTGTTTTAGCACTGGAATAAAAATGTCATAATTCTTTGCCATTGTTTTCTTTGACAAAATGAACACTACTTTAAGGATTGATGTTTGTGAAGACAGATATTTTTTGAAACATTTTCCAAACTCTTTGTGACTCTTTCTCTCAGCTTCACATCCATTCATCGTTTTCAATCCATCATCATTTCACGTCCTGATTAATGTAAACTTTGGGCTGCGAGTGTTGGTACAGCTGGTGCCCCTCATGCAGGTGTACATCACTGTGGATCAGAGCTTCAAGACCAAGACACGCGGTGAGAAAATATTTAGCAAATAACAGTAAAGCATTAATAGTAAACCCATTACAATAACCTGTCATGAATTTTGATGGTAATGGACTTTCTATTATTTTAAAGAATTGTTTAAATGTATAGATTTCAAGGCATCGAAGTAATTGTATTTGTAAGAGTCATTTAAACTGTTTGCAAATAATTTATTTTAAATGGGTCCACATCCACTTTATCTGTATGCCTAAAATGTCAGAAACACAAAGTGTTTGCTTCAACATATAAAAATGTACATGAATCATGTAAATGACAGCAGACTTTCAGGTTAATAAGATATGACAATGTTATAGTTTTGACTGAACATACAGTATGGTTTAATGTAGAGTTTAAAGTATGCAAACATTCTAACTATTAATATAATAAAATATGCTACCATTATTTCTGACCATCACAAACCTAGAAATGCAGCTTGGCTTCTGTTACTCATTTATGCAGATGTTACAAATGCAAATATAAGATTATATTTATAAAGGTCAACTTAATATCCAATTGTGGTGTTCATCTGTTTGTGCAGGTCTCTGTGGAGATTTTAACAGAGTGCTGGTTGATGATATGAGAACCCCTCAGGGATTGGTGGAGGGCACAGCGGTTTCCTTCGCAAACGCTTGGAAGGTTGAGACCAACTGCCCTGACCGTTCTGATAGAGAAGACAACCCCTGCTCTTTCAACAGTGCCAGTGGTAAAATGCTTTTTTCTCTTCTATTTTCTGTCAGGAACACTTCCTTTAACAATCATTCATAATTATTTCATACTTGTTCCATGCACTCTAATATTAGTGAATTGTGGCTAAATAAACATGTTTAAATAAAGTAATTAATACACTGTTAAACCCAACAGTCAACTTCATCAAATGAAATGAAAAAGTGTTGAAGGTAATGAGTTAATTAAATACCTCATTACTTTAAATTAAATGGAGTAAGTTCACAGTCCTCATACAGTAGTTTTTTTTACTTAAATGGTTTGTTGCAATTGGTTTCCTTAAACGGTTTGAAATGCCTTAACTAATTGGGTTTTACAGCACTCAGTTGGTTTGAGTTCTCTTCATTTATTGGGTTTTACTGTGCTCAAATTGCTTCGTTTACTCAAATAGATTCACAGTTCTCAATAGGATTAGTTTTTTTAAACTTAAATGGTTTGTTGCAATCAGTTTCCTCAAATGGTTTGAGTTACCTTAACTTTTTGGGTTTTACAGTGTAGAAAAATATAGTGAGAGAGTATTTTTTCAAATTTGGGAAAATTAATAAAGTGAAAAAGATGGCTCTTGGGAAGGTTGAATTTTATTGATCGAGATAAGAATAAGGTGAAATATAATTTTTGTTCAATAAAAGCAGCTCAAGGATAACTAAAGAAGTAAATGACAGAGACAGTTTATGGTTGAATTTTGCTGTTTGTTTGTAACACTAAATGCTATGATTCCCATAGAGAACTATGCTGAGCACTGGTGCTCCAAGATAATGAACAAGAATGGCATTTTTGGCAAATGTCACAACAAAGTCAACCCAGAAAGCTACTACAAAGTATGAACTGAAACAGACCATTTTAAAAACTATATAATTTTCCAAATTGCAATGAAGCTCCCACAATTAACAGTGACATAACATGCTTGTATGCTTTCAGAGATGCAAATACGTCGGCTGTATCTGTGCGAGGAGTGAGGACTGCTTGTGTGCTGTGTTTTCCTCATATGTCCGTGCCTGTATGATTAAAAACGTAACACTCGAAGGATGGAGAGAAAATGTGTGCGGTAAGAATTCTGAAAACATTTAATTTGGTAGACAAAAGGATGTGCATCAAAGATTTAGTATCAAAGATGAATCGTCACAACAAAGGCATGTTTTGATGATGTTGTGACTGAGTGTGGAATCATGGTTGAGGTGTTCGTTGTGGTGTTCGTTACATCTTACGGGACTCCTGCCAAAGTCATGTAGCTAAAGTTCTATCATACAGTGCTACGAAAAGGGGTGAGATTAAACAAGATGATTAGATGTAAAAAGCAAGCGATTGGTGCATAATATAATACATTTCTGTCCAGAGAGGTCATGTTTTGATCATCGATTGGCCTTACGCAGTCACGTGTTGCCATTTCATAGGTCAGAGTTCACCGAGCACCACAGCAAACTGCGAAACTTGTCGGTTTCCGGTTGTGTTTGTGTATGAATGGAAGTCTATGGGGAGAAAAGTCCAGTGTGACCGCGGCTTATGGTTGAAAGCCGTCAAATCGAAATGAGAGTGCTAAAGCAATTGCTGATGAGAGATGAGCAAGATGAAGCTTTTCTAGTGTTTTATTTTAGATATATTTTAATCCAGGAACATGTCCTACTTTGTAAAATCACGTTAGGGTCAAACTTTTGGCTTTGTAGAATGCAAGTACAGGATGTGCAGTATTCGCTTTTACACCACGTTCTTTGAAACTGATCCCCACAGAAAAGTACAAACTTGGCTGCCCAGCCTCACAGAGATACTTCTATTACCTGAAGAGCTGCCAGCCTACCTGTCTTTCTCTCGCCTCCAAGCAAACAAGCTGCAAAGCAGACTTTGTTCCTGTTGATGGATGCGCGTGTCCAGAAGGACTCTACAAGGATCAGGATGGAGAGTGTGTATCAATTGAAAAATGTCCTTGTTACGACAATGGAAAGATAGTCCAACCTGGCACATCTATCGACATTAATGGTCAACACTGGTAAGTGATTGTGAAATAGTTTAGCGTTTAACGTACACTTTTCAAAATGTAATGTTCTGTTATTTTTGCAATAGTGTTTGCGTGAAAGGAGTTTTAAGCTGTGAGTCTGGGAAATCCCAAGTTCTGGGTAAGACAAATTATTTTTGGTTTCTTTAACACTCAGAACATTAAAACAGGTTAAATGACTTTATGCGGTCAAAATCATGCTACAAGTCTTATCAATTGAGCTAGAATATGCCTTTAAATGGTTATCGAGAATTGATTATCCAATCAAATTTTTACACAGAAAAGCAAACTGTCTATCCATTGCATAGATGTCCAACAAAAACTGTCCAAGTGTGGTTTAAAAATCTTTCCAAAAAGTGTTTATCCATCGTCTGATATCTTTTTCAGAGTGCGCTTCGCCAAAAGTTTTATTCAACTGCAGTACAGCTCGACCAGACCAACATGGACTGAAATGTGAACCAACTTGTATGCAAAAGATAGAAAATTGTGTAAGTCCAGTTTCCAATCTTGCCTTGTTTTTTTTTGTTTTTTTAGGTGAATCCATTCATACTGTTAATGTGTTTGAGGTTGGAGTATCCAGCAAGCATTTTTTTGTTTTTAAAGGTTAAAGACACCCTGGAGTATTATTTTTTTTTAACAGATTTGTGTGTTGAGCATCAGTTAAGACAACATTAGCACCTGTCAGCTTTAATTGTGGGGAAAACTGGATCATTCTGAGCTTTTGTCAGCTAATTATATCTTCTAATCTATCTATCCTCTCCATCTTCTAAAGTGGCCTTCTGAATCCAATCAGCAGGAGGCCTGACTTTAACTGCAGCTTGGCAGTTTCACTTTAACTCATGAACATTTCATTCATTTCCCGTGACAAACTGGGGTATTAGACGCAAATAAGGAGTAAGGACTGGTGAGAGTGTTATGAAATTTAATAACGCTTGCCAAATGGAAAGAAAAAATAAACTTCTGCATTTCACGATGTGTGTGTGTGTGTGTGTGTGTGTGTGTGTGTGTGTGTGTGTGTGTGTGTGTGTGTGTGTGTGTGCGTGCGTGCGTGCGTGTGTGTGTGTGTGTGTGTGTGTGTGTGTGTGTGTGTGTGTGCGTGTGTGTGTGTGTGTGTGTGTGTGTGTGTGTGTGTTTGTCTGTGTGTGCGTCTGTGTGTGTGTGCGGTCCGGTGCGTTCCTTTATTGACAGCCGTGTGTGTGGATCTTGTCGGAAAATATGGCGAAAAGTTCTCCATGACGGTAATAGTTTGATCATGGTGTTTACTTCAATAATGCCACTAATAAATACACACTCCACGTGTCTTAAATCCATTTCTGTTTAGTTCAGTTATGACTTTAGTCGGATTAAGGTGATCAAAAATCGCTGTTTGGAGCATATGTAGGCCTACAGTTCAAAATTCATGTTTAACTGAATAAACAGTTAGTAAACACAAGTCCATCTTATTGAACATCATTTATTTTCATCACCAATTATCATAGTTGAACAGTTTCTCCAGCAGTTTGTGATGCATTTGGAAACAGGAGATGAGCCCCTGGTCTAATGCGCCACCTAGATTAATCTAGATTTAAAAAATGTATCTATGCCCATCTATAGTTTAAAACAATTTTTGGGGCGAGATCAAAATCTGTGACGTGGGTCGTATGTGTTTGTTTTCATGATCCACGGGGTTTGTTGCATGTTTTTCCACGCAATGCTGTCAAGGCCGATACAGCAAAGCTGTTGAGTTACAGCAAGCATTTTTGTTGGAAGGGCTGTATGAAAATCGGAGAATGGCGGACTTTGTCTTTTATCAGTTGAGTTAGTTTCTATTCAGACACATTGCATTGCCTATATCCGTGCAGCTGTGTTCGCACATGTTTAAAATCCTCCAGATTACTGGCAGGGCTAATGTTTGGAATAGACAGGGCAGGGGACCTGCTGTACTGCTATCCACTGTGTCTGCAGTCAGACCCAGAGATCGAGGAGGAGAGAAGTCCTCCTCATTTATAGTGTTTATTTAAACACAATTATCTGTATAAATATATAACAAATTGTGGTCATGTGTATATGAAATTACGAATAACAAATGTAGCAGGACATTAAATTACTTACTGTTTATTTCTTTATATTTTAACTTTGTTAACCATAAAATCATGCATCTCCTCACGGTTTGTGTTTCATTTTGTGAGCCAACTCTAAACATAGTTGTCTTGGCTAAAACAAGCTAAATTCTGGCTGTCAGTGATAGTGTAGTAGACATCTAAGAATAGGCCAAAACTGGACTAGTCATCACAGACATGAATGACTACACATATAAAGCCTGTCTACAGTAATCTGTCTATTTGTATACTGGATATGAAATTTATTACTCCCTTGGAGAAGTCATTAACTCTTTTTTTTTTCTTTTTTTTTCACCTTTTTTACTGTCTCATCCACCCACAGCTTTCACAGACATGTGAATCAGGCTGCCTCTGTCCATCAGGTCTACTGGATGATGGTAGAGGAAACTGTGTTGAAAGAAAAGACTGCACATGTCCTTACAACGGACTACTTTACCCTCCAAAGGCTAAAATAAAAGTAGACTGTAATAACTGGTATGTAAACAACAGCTTTTTTCGTGGCTAATAAGTTTCATTTGATGCTAAATAATATAAATTCTCATTTAAAACTAAAATCAAAACTGAATTCAGGGAAATTACCATAAAATCACTAGAATGAGTTTACCCGTAAATCCTTGAATGTGGTTTTGAATGTTATTGGAAGACACATTTCAACTCTTTATTTACTCAACTTAATTTACAGAGCTTACGACTAGACCCAGTGCTGTACCGAAAAAAAAAGTTTATGAAGTGATGTTTTATTGTGAAGTTTATTTATAAACAAATTTTGAGAGGATCACGTGCTTATGATTGTTCACAGCTGTTCCAACTTTAGCTAATGACTAATTATCTTATCGGAGGATCCTCAACTCACTATAAATAACCAGACTTTTCTTATCTTAATATCTTCGTCTTGAAGAAACTCCCCCACTCAACATTACTTTCCCTCCTTTCAAACAGGCGACGCAGTGGCCAGTGATTAGCGCTGTTGCCTCACAGCAAGAATGCCACTGAGTTCCAGAGGCAACATTTCTGTGCGAAGTTGTGCTCGTTCTCGCTGTAATCACGTGGGTTTTCCCCGGGTCCTCCGGTTTCCTCCCACAGTTCAAAAACAAGCACCCTAAACAATTAATCCAAAATATTTTAGCCAAAATCTGAGTACACCTTCTCAGAATCCATATCTGACACTTAGCTACAATAAGCAGGAGGGGGAGTCATCGAAATCTACCTGAGCTCAAACTCCCCTCTCGCCTTGCAATGGGAGGGAGCCCAGGGCTCGAGGATCTTATAAGCTCAGAGCTCTTTCCAGGGACAGCACGCCAAACTAGCTTTATTATCAATCATCAGCTAAGTGTGAACTCTTGAAGTTTTATTCTGGAGTCAGGCTAGACACAGTGCTCGGAACCTTATCTCTCTCTCTCAGATAAGTGGAATAACATGAGTTAGGGTGGGTTTTCGAGCTCAGAGCCCTCTCCCTGGACAGTATGCCAAATATCCATATTCTGTTCAGTCAAATATCTGTAAGTGGTCACACTTTACAATAAGGTTCATTAGTTAATGTTAATTATTGCATTTACTGACATAAACGAACAATGAACAATACATATATACTACTGTATTTGTTCATGTTAGTTAACGTTAGTTAATGAAAATACAGTTGTTCATTGTTAGTTCATGTTAACTCATGGTGCATTAACTAATGTTAACAAGCATGGACTTGGATGTTAATAATGCATTAGTAAATGTTCAATTATGATTAATAAATGCTGTACAGGTGTTGTTCATGATTAGTTCATGTTAGTAAATGCATTAACTAATTAACCTTATTGTAAAGTGTTACCCTGTAAGTTTGAACTTGTGAAATATCATAAAATTAGGACACTGTAATTGAAAAAATAAAAATAAATCACACATCTGAAGCAAAATATTGGTATTTCTTGTGATGCCACATTGCTGAATGAAAACGAAGACATGATGGTCTTGAGCACTAAATGTGGTGCAACAGACAGATGTGACAGATGGTAAAATATGTTATATAATGTCTGGAATATAAAAGCGCATACTAAATGTGGATAACAATGAACAGAAGAATTATTAGAACACAGAATCGCCTTGAATCAAATTGATACCAGTCATCTGTTTACAGCACTTGTACAAATGGAATATGGAAATGCACAAAAAATAAATGTCCAGGCACCTGCACTATATATGGAAGCGGACATTATAAATCTTTCGACAATCAAAGGTTTGGATTCCACGGATACTGCAGTTATATAGCAGCTCAGGTACCACCACACAAGCACTTTTAATGCATTGTCTGTGCTTCTTTATTCTGGCTGTGCATAATGTGTTCCTATTTATAATGTGACATCTTGTTTTTAAGGATTTCTGTGGAAATGCGACAGGAAACTTTCAAGTAATCACTGAAAATATTCCTTGTGGAACAACTGGGACAACATGCTCAAAGTCGGTCCTTATTCAGTTAGGGGTACGATTTACTCACAGTATGACCAAATTTGAATAGCATGAAAAAATGAAAGATGAATTATTTTTTAAAAGCCTTTATATATTTTATATTTAGTTAAAATGATCATCAATTCATTCTTACACTCTTCTAGGAAACATTACTGCGCCTTTCAGATAGGACTGAATCAAGCCTTTTAATGGAAAGAGGCATACGGATCAACACCATTGGAATGTACCTTGTCGTTAACACTGACATTGGGCTGACAGTTTTGTGGGACCGCAAAACCACAGTCAGCATCATTCTGCATTCTAATTACACGGTGAGCTGAACAAATCTACTATTCCATACAGTATAAATAATGTGTATCAAAGAGGTCCTGCAGTAGTATGCTTTCCCTCCCGTTCAACCTTGTGTGTAATGTTGCTGTGTATAACAAAGATCAATAAAAAAGGTGAGGAGAGGTTTTTCTTCAATGTTTAACATTCAGCTATTTATTGTATACAAATGAATATTCGATTCACAGAATTCTGTTATCCTCAATGCAATGCAAGAGTTACATTCAGGAGGTGCGCAACAGTTTTCATTTCCTGACTTCAACTTACATAGGCAGCTGATATTAACAGATGGCGTTTAGTGAATTTCAAAATCTGTCAATTATTCTACAGTTCTCTGTTGGCCGCACCCATACATACTGTAACGAAGTGGCTGACACAGAGGGATCCATTTGCAGTATATTTATTAAACACTGTTAAATAACAATAGGCACACAGATGTAATGCGTGTGCGAACTCACATCAAATACAGTAGTATAAGGTCGAAGGGCTGGCGGCAGGTAAACAAAGGATGAGTATGCAGGCATAGGTCAGAGGCAGGCGGCTAATCTCAATGTCGGTGTGCAGGCTAGAGTTCAAGGCAGGCGGCGGGGTGATGATGACCTCTGCTGGCCAGCGAGGGGAATGACTGGGACCGAGTCGGTGACACATACGTCCTCTTTTTCTACGAATTCTCTGCACAACAGATGCTGACCTCTCACAAAATGTAACCAAGTCACAACGATGCGTATCGCAAGCTTTGTAATTGGTTGGCTTGGTAGCTGTGATGAGTGTGGGCGGTGCTGAGAGCCGCGAGGCCACTGGAGCGAGTGTTTACAAGTATCAAGTCCCATGAAGGAGTTCCAGGTGGAAACTTTTGTTTTGTGTTCACCTTATGATTAATGTTGTTGCACATCTGGCGGTTCCCACCTCTGAATGAGCAAGTTTTAGCTACTTGTAAACTAAGGTAGCGTTCAGAAAAAACATAACACCTGTGAAAAAATGCGACGCGGAGGAACTTAAAAATCTACTGCCAGCTAGTGTTTTAAGAGTGTTATTGCAGGGCAACACAAACAGCATTCAGAATATGCTAAGAAAATGCACGACTATGCGCAAGGTAGCCGCGATGAATCGCATATGACTTGATGCAGAAGTATAAACCAGCCTTAATTCACGCATAATAATTAAGGAACTTTGCTGTCATACCATGGCTGCAGCAGGCACAATAATAGGGGTGTCAAAATTAATTGTTTCTTCGGTGCACCGCGATGCAGACGCGGACAATTCTGTAAGGGTTTAGTAATAATCATAACCGGTTATTATGTACTGACGTAATTTATCCCCTATGCGCTCTGTCGCGAGGGAGGTGAGCGCGAGTATTTACAACACTCAGGCAAGGCAGGGCGCTGTACATCCAGGGGGGCGCCAGAAATTAGCAAAAAATTAGAGAATTAAAAATTAAAATTAGAGAAATTAGAAATTTGTTTTCGATTTTCCTGACACACATTCAGTTATAGACGGCAAAAACCTCTTACCCTAAAAAGATCTAAAGTGTGTTTCCTACAGAAAGACAAAGCTGGTTATGTTTCACAGCTGTCTTTCTTTTTTTTTTGCTCGACATTATGAGCACTGCTCCGTTTAAGCCCTCGCAATATGTGTTTAGCCGGGAGAGCTCATGCTGAGAGGTGCCCTCAGTAAGGGACCGTCGGAAAAGTGCTCCTTTTTTTTTGTTTTTCTGTTCCGCTCAGCGCGAGCTCTCCCTGTTGCAAGGGCTTAAGTGTGTTTGTGTGTGTGTGTTTGGTGCTGTCTATGTTTGTGTATGTGTTTGAATGAGAGACAGTGTGGTGCTGTGTGTCTGTGTGTCTGTGTGTTTATACAGACAGCTTGTTATAGCCTCCCCCCTAAAATATAACACTGTATATAAAAAAGCATCGTTAATGCACCGTGATGCACCGAGATATCGAATTGAACCGAATCGAAGGCATGATAATCGTAATCGAACCGAACCGTGAGACCAGTATAGGTTCACATCTCTACTCAATAATCTTATGCAGTGCTTAAAATGTGTTATTTGAAAGCACCAAAACAATCACACCCTTAATGCAACAAGGTCATGATCATACTATCATTACTAGACATGGCACTTCCTATTAAGTGCTTTCAGGATTGATCTGACACTGTGGTCAAAAATGCTTAGTACACCTTTACTTTTGGTAGATATGCCTACTGCTTAGTTTCATTAGAGTGATCTACATTGTGCGCTTTATTTATAAACTAATTTCGAGAGGATTACATGCTTATGATTAACATGGCTGGCACCTCATTAGCTTCATAATCTGCCCTATTAGATAATTACAGACGCATTATAAATAACCAGAGCTTTTCACTCCAGTTATCTTCGTCTTGAAGTTTCCCCCCCTTCCACCCCTACTTCCCACCCTTTTTCCAATAGGGCAACACGGCGGCCCAGTGGCTAGCACTGTTGCCTAACAGCAAGAACGCCGCTGGTCCAACCTTTTATCGACAAGCAGGGAAGTTCTCGAGACCTACCTGAGCTCGAACTCCCCTCTCGCCCTTCTAACGGGAGGGAGCCCCGGCCTTGAGGATATTACAAGCTCAGGGATCTCTCTTTTCACAGCATGCCAATTACGCTTCATTGAACTCTTGACAATGTGATCTTTGTATTTTCACAGGGAAAAGTTTGTGGCCTATGTGGAAATTTTAATGGAGATGGAAAAGACGACTTCACCACTAAAGGTGGTTTGCAAACTTCAAATATAATAGAGTTTGTTGAGAGCTGGAAGCAGAAAACCCCTTGCCCAGATTCTGCACCAGACTTTGACCCATGCTTTAAAAACCCCTATCGATCGGCATGGGCACAGATTAAATGTGCCATTATAAAAAAGCTGGATGGTGCATTCAAAGATTGCCATAGAAAGGTATAATTTGATTTCCTTTTTCATAAATAAAATCATTCTTGTATACCATGTTGGACCGAAATACATGTTCCCACAGGTGGATCCAAGCCCATATTATGACAACTGTTTGAAGGACACGTGTGCATGTGACACTGGTGGTGATTGTGAGTGCTTGTGTACGGCTGTGGCAGCTTATGCTCAAGCCTGCAACGAGGCCAGTGTTGGTGTAGACTGGAGAACTCCCGAGATCTGCCGTAAGAATCTTTAAAATTATGACATATCTTACATTTGTAGTAGCTGAATACAAATTTTATGCATATTCTGAATATGTGGTTTTACATAAAATATTTAAAATCATTTAGTCACACTTGTCTGAGTGATGTGTTTTTTTTTTTGTCTGTACTGAAGGTGTATCACATTAACAGTATACATGAATATATTATATACATTCTCATACATCTGTTTTTGTTTCCCTGTCAGCTGTGTACTGTGAGTACTATAATAAATACGAAAATTGTACATGGCATTATAGTCCTTACCATCCACCTTGCTACAAAACCTGTGAAAACCCTGACCCTGGTTTCTGCAACAACAGTTTACCCTACATGGAAGGTGAGTTCTTGAAGACTAAGCATACATGATACTAGGGGTTTTATCATTCAGTTTTAGTCAACAATGATTAGTATTTTTTATGTTACATGGAATCCATATTTAAATATAAATGTTTGTAACTAAACGCCTTCTACTCAGCTATATTATTGAAATGGACATTTATATTGGCAATAGCGCACTCAAGATTGTTTAATTCCTTTTACATTTGAATAAAATATCATAAGTAAGTCATACAATGCACATAAAGTAAGCACAGACTGTAAAATGTAATAAGCATTGTGCAGTTTGTGCTTAATCATACTGCACACATAAAAACATAGTAAACAGTGAAAGTTTACATAAAAAGGTGTTTAGGATATAAGCCGGTTACAAAATTCAAAACATTTCAAATAGGTGCGTTAAGTCTTTTCCTTCGGCGTAGTCCCTGATTAGTAGGGGTTGTCACAGTGGAATGAACTGGCAACTATTCTGGCATACGTTTTACACAGCGGATGCCCTTCCAGCTGCATCCCAGCACTGGGAAATGGATATAGTGTGTACAAAACATAATTAATAAAAAAAAAAAAAAAAACTTGAGATAACAGGTAATTTCTCAGAAGTATTGCGTATTTGCTGTGCAAAACACAGTTCATGATCTTCGTCATGTCATGTAATGTGTACAAGGCAAAGAGACCGAATCAATTTGTCCCCCATGTCAGCATCGATTGGACTTCGTCAGAAATAAGTGAAGTTTATTTATAAACTAATTTTGAGAGGATCTTTTGCTTATGATTGTCCACGGCATCTTGAAGAATACCCCCTCCTACCCCTACTCCCTCTCCTTCCAGATTGGGTGACACGACGGCCAAGTGATAAGCCTCACAACGAGAAAGTCACAGGTTAAAGTCCCTACTAAACCGGTCCACATTTCTGTGCAGAGTTTGCTTGTTCTGCCTGTGCTCTTGTGGGTTTCCCCCCGGGTTCCACGTCCAAAAACATGCAACCTAAGTAAATTGAACATTCTAAATTGGCATCGTATTCACACTCTTAGTAAGCTGTACATCCCTTTTTTATCCATCACTTTAACTGTCATTAGCCAGAAATAAGTCAGGGGAGATTTACCTGAGCGTAAACTCCCCTCTAACCCTGCTAAAAAGGAGGGAGCCCAAGGCTCGAGGATCTTATGGGCTCAGGGCTCTCCCGGGAAAGTATACTGAACAAGCTGTATAATCAATCATCAGCTAAGTGTGAACTCTTGAAAATAGAGTATCAGTAACTCCGTGCCACATGTAGTGTAGAAAATCAGTGATTAAAGTGAGGATTGTTCATCTTAGTCATGTCATGTTGTGCCACTTGCTTCTGGTATAGCAATGGAGTCAGCTCTTGTGGGCAACATGTAAACAACAGTGATTTGTCAACCTCATTGTTACCTTTATTGGCTTTGAACGTGAAATAAATCCACACACCTGTCAGCTTTTTTATTTCGCTTTAAGCGAAGCAAGAGCAACTTTACAAATAAATCTTGAAATACATAAAAAATAAGAAAGAAAGGCAAAATACAGATAAAATTTACTTCTATTACAAAAAAATAATGCACATTAGGAAGGATTTTAAAAGTTTATTCTCAAAAAAAAATAATAATAAATCTACAGTATTATTTTACCCAGCCTTATATAGTACACAGTAAATGTTTCAAGAGTTCACACTTATATATTGTTTGATAATAACAGCAGGTTTAGCATGCTGTCCCGGGAGAGAACCTTGAGCTCAGAAGTAATTGAGCCCAGGGCTCCCACCTGGTCGATGAGCATTTAAGGAGAGTACAAGATCAGGTAGTTCTCGAGAGCTGCCCCTGGTAAAGGAGGAAAAGGGGGAGATAGGGTGGATGGCGGGTTTCTTCGGAAAAAGAATACAAGAGAGTAGTTTTAGCTGGGCTACTTATGGTGAGTTTGGATCAATCTGACTGGCAAACTAATGACTGAGAGACCAGCTGCGAACAATCATAGCACATGCTCTGCTCGAAATTAGTTTGTCAAACTTTACTTAGAAGAAATAGTGAATGTACAACTTAAAATGTACAAATTGCATATTTATGTGCATTGTTTGAAAACTTTGTTTTGTGCAGGATGTTTTCCGGAGTGTCCAGATGACAAACCATTTTATGATGAGAAAAACAATGTCTGTGTGCCGCACTGTGCTTTCACAACTCCTACTTCAACCTTTACAACCACTTCAACATTTTCAACCACCTCCATTACAACAACTACTCCTACTTCAACATTTACAACCACGTCCATTACTACAACTTTTCCTACGCCATCTACAACATCAGAAATATCATCTACAACTAGTATATCTTCTGGCACAACGCCTACTTCAACAGCCACTCCCATTACTACAACTACTATGACACCATCTACAACAACTGAAATAAAATCTCCAGGTAGTACAACAACTGGCACAACTCCTACTTCAACATTTACAACCACATCCATTACTACAACTCCTTTGACACAATCTACAACATCAGAAATGTCATCTACAACAAGTACATCTTCTGGCACAACACTTACTTCAACAGCCACTCCCAATACTACAACTACTCTGACGCCATCTACAGCAACAATACATATTGTTGTTGGAAACACCACAACTACCACTCCGGCTCCTCAAATTCTTAACACCACAACTTCACTATTTACATCATCTACAGTTGAAACATCATCTTCAACCAGTACAACTTCTGGCACAACACTTACAACCACTTCAACATTTTCAACCACATCCATTACTGCAACACCATCTACAACATCAGAAATGTCATCTTCAATTAGTACAACTACTGGCACAACTTCTATTTCAACATTAACAACCACATCCATAACTCCTCCGACGCCATCTACAACATCAGAAATTTCATCTACAACTAGTATATCTTCTGTCTCAACACCTACTTCAACAGCCACTCCCAATACTACAACTACTATGACACCATCTACAGCAACTGAAATCAAATCTCCAGGTAGTACAACTACTGGCACAACTCCTACTTCAACCTTTACAACCACTTCAACATTTACAACCACGTCCATTACTACAACTTTTCCTACGCCATCTACAACATCAGAAATATCATCTACAACTAGTATATCTTCTGTCTCAACACCTACTTCAACAGCCACTCCCAATACAACAACTGAAATAAAATCTCCAGGTAGTACAACTACTGGCATAACACCTACTTCAACAATTACAACCACATCCATTACTCCTCCGACGCCATATACAACATCAGAAATATCCTCTACAACTAGTACTACTACTGGCACAACTCCTACTTCAACATTTACAACCACATCCATTACTACAACTCCTCTGACACCATCTACAACATCAGAAATTTCATCTACAACTAGTATATCTCCTGGCTCAACACCTACTTCAACATTTACAACCACATCCATTACTCCTCCGACGCCATCTACAACATCAGAAATTTCATCTACAACTAGTATATCTTCTGGCACAACTCCTACTTCAACATTTACAACCACATCCATAACACCTCCGACGCCATATACAACATCAGAAATATCCTCTACAACTAGTACTACTACTGGCACAACTCCTACTTCAACATTTACAACCACATCCATTACTACAACTCCTCTGACACCATCTACAACATCAGAAATTTCATCTACAACTAGTATATCTCCTGGCTCAACACCTACTTCAACATTTACAACCACATCCATTACTCCTCCAACGCCATCTACAACATCAGAAATTTCATCTACAACTAGTATATCTTCTGGCACAACTCCTACTTCAACATTTACAACCACATCCATAACACCTCCGACGCCATATACAACATCAGAAATATCCTCTACAACTAGTACTACTACTGGCACAACTCCTACTTCAACATTTACAACCACATCCATTACTACAACTCCTCTGACACCATCTACAACATCAGAAATTTCATCTACAACTAGTATATCTCCTGGCTCAACACCTACTTCAACATTTACAACCACATCCATTACTCCTCCGACGCCATCTACAACTAGTATATCTTCTGGCACAACTCCTACTTCAACATTTACAACCACATCCATTACTCCTCCGACGCCATCTACAACATCAGAAATTTCATCTACAACTAGTATATCTTCTGGCACAACTCCTACTTCAACATTTACAACCACATCCATAACTCCTCCGACGC